ATACATATATATATGTATGTGTGAATGTATGTATGTATATGTTATGTGAATATATATATGTATATATATATATGTATAATATATATATAAATATATATATATATATATATATTTATATATATATGTATATATATATATATGTGTGTGTGTGTTTGTATATATATATATGTGTGTGTGGTTGGGTGTGGTTGTGTGTGTGTATGTGGATGTGTGTGTTGTGTGTGTGTGTGTGTGTATCGCTCCATAACATACCTATTTTAGTATATCTAAATAATTAGTGCTATCTAATCTATTGTTGCGTACCTGTATTATATCGATCCACAGAAAGTTTAGCTAACAGTATAAGCGCAGCACCGCTACCACAGCCAGCGGCCAACGAAGTTGTAGAACCAGCAGTGGCAAATCCAATTAAGCCGCCTAGCAACACTAAGAATCCATACGGATACGTTATACAAAAAGGGTACATGGTGTTTATTTTGAACTGGGTAAAAAGGTGAAGTCGGTTTTGTTTGACGGCATTCAGATGTATACCAGCCAACTAAATATGTAAACTATACGCTAAAACAACATCCGTGGACCGTAGGTCGTAGTACGTCATATTTACATACTTTTGTAGATCTACGAAAATATTCTGGCGGGAGAGGCATCAGTACAACCAAGTTTATCTCGAAACAAAACCCCATCAGATTCCACTTTAGGTATTTACTTACAAACCTGAAGCCTGAACTTCTGAAGCCTTGGTGACCTGGTCTGCCTGGCCCGAAGGCCTGAAGGCGGAAGGCCTGAACTCCCTGAAGCCGAAATATAAAATATAGCAACCCGAGATGATACATACTTATACACGGATGTATTTATGTAAATAAAATATGTGCTGGCCCGTATATGAATATTATTCGGTGTTACCCTCTAAGTAATTGACATACGACGCGGCAGGTACTGAGATACAATTCCGGTTTAGAATGTCCGGGTGGGTGGTGAAGAATTACAAAAGCTACTTCAAACATAATCCAGGTCGCGATGCGCTGGTCTACGCCTTCGTTCTTCTCGCAATGCTGTGTGTATCATTTGTCTTCTTAGGTTCCGCAATATTTGAACCAGGGAATTGTATATCTACACCGTCCAGCAAAGTGTACTCAAACCCCGACTACGACACCGATGTATGCCTGGATATACGCTACACTCAGCTCATGGGCCTTTCACTGCGTGAATGTGATCTCGGCAGGAGATTACTAGCATCTATCTTTGCCGGTTGGTGTATCGGCTATGAGCGCGCCAGCCCAGAAAGGGTCACAGGCCTGCGCACAATGTCTCTCGTAAGTCTTGGGGCATGTTGTTACACACTGTGTTCGATGTTTGTCACTGTAACTGGACCAATGAAGACCGATGCATCGCGTGTGGCCGCTGCACTGCCCTCAGCGGTAGGGTTCTTGGGTGCGGGTATGATATACAAAGCTACTGAAACACCATTAGTAAAAGGCTTGACCACGGCTGCTTCACTGTGGTTGAGTGCGTCTCTGGGTGCTGCTGCCGGGGCCAGGATGTACTTTGTGTGTGCGTATGGCCTGGCTCTGGTGTTAGTTATACTGAGGTTTGCACCACACTCATATTTGGTAACATGCGATACATGTGGAAGCGAGAACGGATGTATCGACGGAAGTGAATGCGGGGGAAGAAACTCGGCGTTTGAGTTCGATGAACAATCAGTTATAACGGAAAATGACTTTCTGAGACGTATGGGATACCAGCGCCAAGAGTCAGCCACGAACCGGAGCAGTCGAAGTAAGCACGGCATATTGCACCGAAGTAGCAGCCGGTCGAGCAGTCTGTACCATTCATGAGTACATAAGTTATTGGTATATTGGTATTTGCATATACTTTTATGTAAATATATATATATATATTGATATATTGATATATTGATATCTATATTCATACTTATTTTTATTTCATATATACACACACACACACACACACACACACACACACACACACACACACACACACACACACTATATATATATATATATATATATATATATATATATATATATATATATATATATATATACTATATATATACTATATAGTAGTTAGTTAGTTACTATA